CCCCAAAACCCCAAAACCCCAAAACCCCAAAACCCCACAAGAATACATTTATTGAAATTATTATAACTGAGTAGTTTAAGAATAAAATTAATAATGGTAAAATTTGAGTTTATTGGTTGTCCAATAGGTTCTGCTCCTGCACCTTTTTAAGGACCAGAGCAAGTCTGTTGTTACTCCTTAAGGTAGAGTAATTACTTAGCCTCATCATTGAGGACTGGATGTTGTCGATACTACTCCGAATATTTGAGTGAGTATACTCCTCAATGCTATAGCACATAGTTTTAGTAGGTTAAGAGAATACTTACTTGAAGCTATCGTTCAATCCGATTAGATGCTCATTAGATATACTGTTTAGTATAATCGACCCATTGCTCATAATACTTTTATAAATATTAGAGTTCCGGAGCTTGTTCATTATTTGTTTTGATACTCTGATTTCAAGGTTTGGGAAAGAAGTTCTTCCCTCATCACCAAGGTAGGCTTTTCCAGAGTGGTGTAATGGGTCGTATTTCCCGCCTGTATCTCCGATAGGAACAACATCTTTCTCTTCTTGTTCTAAAGCTAAGTAAAATTAGAAGGTTTAGACTTACCTTTGTCTGATAAACTTTTCTGGCAAACAAGAATTGATAAGAATGAAATAAAGTTTGATGCTTCTAGTGATCTTTTTAATTCTTGATCTGTCATTGTCAGGAATTTATGCTTCAACAGATCGCAAGGAGCAGCTCTCTCATTAGGATCTGCAGTCAGTCATTTACTCAGAAAAGACTTTCAATCCTTAGAAAGTTTGATATTGAGCGATGGAGAGGTGTCAGTTGTCTCTAAATTATTGAGGATGGCATCAGTGTCTCCATTAAATTCATGCCAAGGTTGCTTCCCTGTAAGCATTTCTATTATTACAAGCCCAAGTTGCCAAACATCATAAGCTGGGTTAAGTTCTGACTCAGCATTTTGGACTACTTCAGGAGGAGTATATGCCTCTGAGCCAATCAGAGGGAAATCTGGCTCTACCTTTTCTCCTTTTGATTCCTCTTGGAATGCTTTTCTCTTTCTGTATTTAGCTATTTGTTTTGGATTCATAAAAGTTCTTTTGATGAATGAATGATCATTTAACTTAAGAATGCCAAAGTCATCGACTAATATATTAGAACTTTTAATGTCCCCATGTCAGATTCCTTGATCATGACATTTGACTAGTGCTTCAACAATTTGTCTAGTGTAAGAACGTACAAGCTTCTCTTTGAAGCCTACAAAGTTACCAAGAAGGTACTGAATGCTACCTCATGGGACATATTCCATGAGGATATCAATACATTTATTCTTTTGGACAGCTCCAAGGTACGACACGATATTAGTACATTGGATATCTCTGAGTATTTCTACATGCTTCTCGATGTAGGGAAATTTCTCATGGATTTCATCTTTGTCCAAGTTATCAAATCTTTTGACAAAGATAACCCTTCCAGAGTTGTTGTTGAATGCACTGTAACAGACTCCAATGGAGCCCTCCTGCACTTTTATTGGCCGATATTATAATCTATAGCTTCCTTCTCATTTATCGGTTCTAGTGCACTAAGGATGCCTTTTGATTCCTCATTAAAAATACCTATTTTATCAGTGTTTCGACGTGGATGACCTTTGTTTACAACAGGAAGTTCGAGATATTTATTAGCTTTGAAAGTATCATTAATCAACATCGAGTTAGGCTATGGGTAACGCCATGAGAGTACCTTTCTCCGGCTCCTTTGGGTATGCTTCTTGACCCTGTCCTTGATTTTATTTAATTTTCTTCATTCTTCTCTGTAATTCAGGGAAGTTGTTCTGTAAATTTGAAAAATAGCATACCTCTACGTCAAGTTTGTGCTGGTTCGAACTCATTGAGTTCATAATACTACTTTGAGGAAAATGACCCTCGCTTTGGTATATCGAAGACGGTTGCATGTTGCTGGGCCGTCTATCACTTTCGTTAACAAGCACTGAATGTCGGATCTAGGGGTTAATTCAGATATTTTACAGGTTCTGGGATAGGGTGTTCTGGAGATCCTACTTTTTCGACTATTTCAGGGTTAGTTTTAGTCTCGTATTTTTCTTTAACAGCTACTGCCTTTTTACAGCTTCAATTTCCTCCCATTTTAGAATAGAATTATATACAACTCAATGTTTTTAATAAATTAGGGGTTTTGGGGTTTTGGGGTTTTGGGGTTTTGGGG